ACTCTGGTCTGTAATTGGCCTGGGGCACCAGCCAGGCTACCTTGCATTGTTCCTCTTCCCATGAGTCACATCTCCTGGCTCAGCTGTGAGGGCTCCAAGGCTGAGGACCACATGTGTCTTTCTGTAGGCCCCGGGCCTCAGGAAGTGTTTGGTGCTGCCAGGGCTGGGCCCACAGTGCAAAACTTAAGGAGGTGCTCAGGCTTGGGGTGGTGTGAATGCTTCTGCTGGCAGCAGCTGGGGGAAGGCTGAGGAAAGCAAATACAGGTACTGTTGTGGGTGAGCCCAGAAGTCTGAAGGTGTCACCAAACAGGATAATCCACTTCCTAGTGTGCTTGGTGTGGGAGTGAAACTTATCAACTAATTAACATATTGTGCCTCTATCAACACTTCTGTTCTCAACTAGGAGTTTAACATGAAGGACTCTTGCCCTAATCAAAAGATGCTAAAACCAAAGGTTAACTTTTGACATAAAAGTATAAGTGAGTAGGCCTTATCACCTTGCCCAGGCTAACACACTCAGCTCTGGATGTATAAGACCTGGTGAGACCCAAACCATCAAAGGGGCGATTGACTAATTGATGGTCATTGCTACCCTTCCATCAGAACAGAATCAGGGAATGTCTATTTCATTTACCATTTTATACCCTACATCCAGGTCAGCATCTGGGACATAAATGTATTGACAATTTGATGTTATTTGTTACTCTGAAATAACAATGACAATGTCTTGGTCGGGTAAGCTTCAGGAAACATTAAAACTTTCAGAAGTGGAAATGATCAGGGTTGGAGAATACTAATTTGGGTGTGAGATGGGGGTGGGGGGTGAAAATCTGAGTAGTGAGGACTACATCTGTGGATCTTTAAAGGCCCCCAAAGTGGGACCTATCGTGGGACTGACCTGTGCTGTCAGGTGCCGGCTCACCTCTGAACCTGTGGGTCCCAGAGCACTTTTTCCCGTTGATTAAAAAAATCAGTGTGGCAGAGACATGTACCACCGAGTACACGCTCTCCCACATTTCCAAACTCCCTGCAGTTGGCAGGACCAGGAGGCTCGTCCTGTCACCGCCACCTGACCCGACTAGTACAATCGGCAACATTAATAACTTATCAGCTAGGGTCTTTGTAGCGCAGGCTTTCTGAGCCTCGGGAAGTACTTCAAGAATGCAAGCAGCACAAGCTTCCAGATACATCTTGACCAGACAAGTATCGGCTTGAGGCTTAAAAAAAAAAGCTTTCACTTTAAAGTTACCCTGGCCCTTCTTGGTCCGCCAGAGTACCAGGACCTCCAGTGAAAGCATGCTGTCTAAACCAGGCTGTGACTGCCTTGTCAGCTGGAGGTATCCTGGACTGTTTGTTTTGGTGATTCACTGCCCTTCCTCTGTGTGTTTTGCTTAAGTGAACACTCATTTGCATTTCCCCAGCAGCCCAGTGACAGGCGAGGAGAAGCCCAGAAGCCTTGCTGCAGAACAGATGGGAGTCAGAATTAATCATTCTCTAGGGAGACCACTGGACCTCCAGAACCAGGCTTTCCTGCATTGGTTAAACAGGATGCAGTGCCTACTGAAGGTGCATTTTTTTTTTATTTATGGGTATCTTTAAGCTTCTTCTCTTCCCCTGACTCTGGGGAAGCAGGAATTTGTATCAGGGGCGAACAGAGATGGTGATTTCCGCCCAGCTCTCCGGTGGGGTATTAGTATGGTTTTACTGTCTGTAAGTACTCGCAGATCTGGGTTTCTCAGCCGGGACCCAGGAGCTGCTGTGCCCTCAGCCCCAGACTGAGGATGGGCTCCAGGCTAAGCACTCCCATCTGCCCGGCCAGTGGCCAAAGGCTTGTGGGTGCCCCCGGAGAACAGAGACAGAGGCCCTAGCCTGCTTCCATGATAGAGACATTTACCAGAATTAGCGAGCAGTCCTGCAAGGCCACTGAAATTCCTGAGATAAAGTGAGGCTTTAGGAAAATTAAAGGCACCTATTTTTACTTTCATGCTCTAGAACCACTCTGAAGGCCTCGCTGCAAACGCTCATCATTCAGCCTGGCTGGGGCCCTCACGTGGGCTGGCCTCAGATCTGACTTTCAGTTTTTATTCCCTTTCATTTCCTAACAGCTTCCACCCACTCGCTGTGTTAACGTTGTACTCCACAGGCTTTTCTCTCTTTCTTTCTCATCTCCTCCAGATGCTGTAATTTGAGGCAGGAACCACACAGATTGTTCTTTCAAGCAATTCTCTAATGTCTTGCATAACCATCTTTCAGAAAGAGATAGGAAAGCCACGTGTTATATATATGAAAGGAGGAGAAATTCTGAGAGAAAAGTCAAAGTGGTCACAGGAGTCTGTGGACCCACAGAATATCTCCTTCCAGGAAACGAGTCAAAGCCTGGGTTGAGATTTGGCCGTCTTCCCGTTAGTTGTCAATGAAATTCTGGTAGAAGATATTGTTAACGATTCCAAGCAAATGACAACCCTTAAAGGGTATCATGCCACCACCTGATCTCCCTCGCTGGGTTTGTGTGCAAGGAGGCTGCCTTGCACTGTGGAGCAATTTAAAAACACTATGGAGATACCACTTTTTTGTACTTCACCAGAGTCTCAGGATGTCAAGTAGACAGCAAGGATTGCTCCCTTTCTCTTATGATAAAGGAGACTGAGGTAGCAGAGATAAAGCTGCTTCCTGCTACCTCTTTCTCTCCAGCCGCTGATTGTGCTGTCCCCTAGGCAGACCTTTTCCTATCTCTGATCTTTCTCCCGATGGGGATTGAAGGGTGATACCCAGAGGCTGGTGCCAGAATAAAGTCCTCCCAAAGTACCACGACATCTGCGTGTCTGTGACTATTTACCAGTAAAGTACCATTAAACCAACCTAAGAGGCTCCTCATAACACACACAGAAACAAAGGAAGCTTCCTAGCACGGCGCACAGAGCAGGGCTGCTGCAGCACCACACAGACCCACAGGAGGCAAAGGGACTGGGCCAAAAGAAAGGATTTTAAAGGTTGAGGGAGAGAGATCGGGGACAAAATAAAATCGACATACTCTCCAAAATATAAAACCTGTTATGCCCTTTGTCAGACAAAAGAGCTATTTGCAGATGATTGACTAGGAAAGGACATAATTATTCTCTGTTGAGGCTAATAATTCTTTGTTCCAGAGCAGTGTTTTATATGGGAGTTAGTGAGTCCATGAGCTGCAACCAGGTAATCATAAGAAAGGCAAAACCAATGCAGGCTGGCAAAATGCTTCTCCCAGAGTCACAGATAATAAGTTTAAAATCTGACAGAATACTTTAAAATCAACTCACCAGAGCACTAGGAACCTATGTTGCAGGCATCCCAGGGTTTTCTTTAAAATTTAATCTATTACATAGTCCCCTACTCATAATGGTTCAATTTAAGGTTTTTTGACTTTACGCTGGAGTGAAAGAGACGGGCATCCTGTAAAAGCCATGCTTTTTGAATTCTGACCTTTTCCCGAGTAGTGATGTGTGGTACATCCTCTCGTGATGCTGGGCAGTGATCGCAGCTCCCAGTCAGCCACACAATCACGAGGGTCAACAACTGATACACTGACCGCCATCCCGGACCCAGACGACTGTTCTGTCTTCACTTTCAGTACAGCAGTCAACAAAGTATGTGAGATACCCAACACTTTATTATAAAACAGGCTTTCTGTCAGATGATTTGCCCAGTTGAAGGCTAATGTAAGTGTTCCAAGCACAATTAAAGCAGGCTGGGCTAAGCAAGCTATGATGTTTGGTGGGTTAGACGTATTAAATGCATTTTCGACCTAGGATATTTTCAACTCATGACAGGTTTAGTTTATCAGGATATAACCCCACTGTAAACTGAGGAAGATTTGTAATTTTATGGCTCGCGTGTAAAACAGCTAGAGGTCTTACAAATGGTTAGAGTTGGGAAGAACCGTGGAGAGAACCAATTCCAATTCTTCATTATTCAACTGAGACGAGTGATACTAGAGGTTAAGTGACTTATCCAAAGTCACCCAGTTAATGAGTAACAGATGTGACAGGTGCAGGCAGGTCTTTAGACCCCACTGCACCAGGCTACAATCGACAATGATGCCATGAAAGGGTACTAAACAGACAAGTTTGCAAACAGGCATGCATCCGAGCTGGACAAGCATTTCCACATACAGGAATCATGCTGAAGGGCCAGGGACTACAACGTGAACAACAGGGTTCTCCCAGCCTCTCAGGATCCACATTGTGGGCTCTCATGTCTGGATTCCATCGCTTATGGGAGGATGAGCCTCTATTTCAGGAGGGGCCTCCTCTAGCCATCAGTACTCATTTTTCATTTTGGTGATCCTACAGTCATATTTTTAAAAGTTACTTAGAAAATTGTGTAGGACAGAAATAATGCTATTAAGAATTAGACTATGGCAACCCTCCAGGCCCATAAATGAGGATAAGCTTTTTGTTTTCCCAGTGACTTAAAAATCCCAGGAAGGGTATCCTGACTGGCCTCGGAGAGCAGGGAAGACTCTGCACATCTTCCTCTTGAGATTCTCCAGGTGAACCCTGACAAGGAGGAGCAGAGCCTTAGGAATTAACTTAGAGAAACATGAAGGAAAAGGCTTGGAGATGTACTTGCTAAGGACCTCTCTGTTGTAAGAAAGAGCTTCACCTAATGTGGATTTAGTTTATCCCAGCAGACAGATGTAGTTTTGTCACTTAAAAATTCTGTTTGTCTAAGTGTCATATCAGATAGAAGAAATCATTGGATTGTATCCCCTCTCCTCCCAACCCACCCAGTATAAACCTCCAAGGCTCCAGGGAATGTTGGACTATCCATTTGCCTTAACAGTGGCTGCAGTTCCTTTAAGTTCACACTGGTGAAAATCTGAACAATGAATTTCCGCAAGTTCAGTATCTAATCCCCAAATTCCCAAATGACACAAGTGTGTGTGTGAAAGCTAAATCAATCAAACATCTACTCTTGATTTCACTTAGTATTTTAAGCAGTTATAAAGCCAAAAGGCCAAATAGTTTTCAAGTAAGTGACTTTTATTTTTCTCTGACATTTCACAGTCAATTTCTACAAAACTTCAAACTTACTCAAAAGTATTCACATTTGGTAAATAAGTCTCTACCCTAAAGAATTCACTGGAAAAACACTTCAATATATGCACAAGTTACTTCTCTGCCGAAGGAATCATAGTAAAGTCCGACAATGCCGTAATCAATAAAAAGCAACAGGAGCATAATAAATTACAAATGTCACTGAACCCATTCTCATAACCACTTCAATCAGCGGTTTTTCCTGGGTGTGTTTCAATACTGCCCACACCATCTGCCAAAACTTCTCTTAAGGGTTGGTTTGAGCTAAGAATGGCCTCTCACTTTCAGAAAACAGTAGCTTTTCCACAGTATTTCATACCAGATCAAGCCACACATCACTGAGACCATCACTACTTACAGCCTTGTGCTACCAACGGTGATCTTTCTGGTCAACTCCGAGGTTCCTCCATTTGCCGATGTGGCTTCTGGCCCCAAATGTCTGCTAGCCTCAATGATCTCCCCTTCCACTATCTAGCTTCTCTGCTTGGCTTCATCTGCATACTGCTCCACTAGGGCAAGAACACCCATGCTAACAGCCTAGAGAGACTTTCAGCACTAAGTTGCAAGATCAGAGAAGAGCTGGGGCTGGTGCTGCTTCTCCTGCCACTCAGCAGTGAGGATCAATGACGGCTTTCATCATCTTTTACTGTGATGGGGGGAAATGCAAAACTTAATCTAGGAAGACAAGTCCAAGAGACGTACAGCTCCACAGAGGGTTTTTCCGATGGAATAAATTTGGTTCTCAGCAAGTGTGTTCAGATTTTTGACTCAGTAAGACCCATGACTGGTGCCCAGGCTGTTCTGAACGCACCTGTCTCTATGGCTTTCCTGCCAAACATTTTCTGCCAAAAAGGAAGCTTCCTAGCATGGTGTGCAGAGCAGAGCTGCCGTAGCACCACACAGATTCAGGGGAGGAAAAGGGAGTGGGCCAAGGGAAAAATACTAAAAGGAGCTGAGTCTGCTTAAAAATACATTTGCTCGATTTTTGAAATTCTTTCAGGAAGCAAATGGCAGGTAGTAATTCTGCATTAATCAGGAGAGTCTAGAGATTTTACTGAGTTGTTTATTTCTAAATTGGTCATGTCTAAATCATGTGTTAGAGAACAAAATGCAGGCAATTTGAAGCCTTGTAATTTTAAAACTATGTTAGAGTTACAACTACCTAGGAAATATGAGCATTAGCTTCTGGCCTTCAGAGAACATTTTCCTTGCAGGAAAGATTAAGTTGGTCATACAGAACTTCCTATTAAGGTAATCTGTACAAAGATTTTCAAGAGAATGAAATTTTTAAATGGGAGGATAAAAAGTTGGCAACGTTACTACTTAGAAATCTAGTTTACAATGAGGCTGAAAGTGTGTGTATCATCTGTAAGTTCTCATAATACTCTGTTTCTAGATGGGCCTCATAAAGCCCACCACACCTTTGGCTTTGCTGCCAAAATCTAATGCACAAAAGAAACACGGAAGACTGCTCCACATCATTGTGACGTGGGACAACAAATGAGAACTCCGATGTGGAAGAAAAATGGATTAACAAGAATGTTTTCTGATTTTTCTGGACTTGTATGTCATAAACTTACAATGATTTTAATTCAAAGTTTATCAAGCATAATAATCATTTCTTTCTTCTTTTGTAAAAACAAACGGGAAAAAAAGGTGGCAGCAGAGGGTTGACTTGTATTACACTATCGGGAATCGTAAAGCTGTCTTTAAGATTTTCACACGTAACACAGGTTGCATTGTTTCAAAAGAAGGGGGGGAAAAGCATAAATTACCAGACACTTTCGGCTCCTGACCAAGAGATACTAGCTATTTCTCCCTTCTTCAGACTCTAATTCAAAAAAGCAGCTCATCAATTGTAGTTCCAGATGGTCCAAAATCCATTCCATACTTTACAAATCTGAAGTATTTCGACTACCAGTTTAAGTGAAGAAAAATCTGGCTTGTGGTTAAAGTCTAAGAGATAAATGGCACTACCCTTTCCCCTTGACTTTCAAGTTTAAGAAAACGAAGCTTTAAGTGATTAAGTGCTTGCACCCAAGGATCAACCAGTGCCCAAAGCATTTTAGGTTTCTTCCAAAGGGCACAATGCCTTGTGGAATGCAAACACCCTCCTCTTATTTTCCTCTGTGACTATGACCTTGAAGGGAGGAGCCACGAAGGGCACCGTATGTCACCTACTCCTTGGCTTGACAGGTGTCACTCTATGCTCACCTGTGTCACTGCATTCGTGATCATGGTTAGTGAGTGGGATGGTGGGAGGTGACAGCGAGAAGGGTCCCACGCGCTCATCTCCCCCGCTTTGCCCTGGATCCATCTAAACGCCTACAAGCTAAGGAAGAGGGACTCAAGGACACCCAAATCTGAGGTTCTCAGTGGAACGGAGACAAAGGAAAACTGCAGAAACCACAGGTTACAACAGCAGCCCAGTATTCGCATGTGGCTTTATAAGTGAACCGCTGAACAGTTTAAGTTTAGAAAGAAAGCTTTGGGGAACAGAAGATGATGGTAAAAGAGTTCAAAAGAATCACTCAAGTAAAAGGAAAATTTGCCTTCTATGTTATATGTCTGGCTGATCAGAGAATGCTTCTAGGTCACTGCCAGTGTGACCTGACCCTGATGTTAAAGACGCCTGCAGCCTGGCCCAAGCCTGAGGAGCCCTGCTCTTGGCAGCCTCTATAAACAGCCGGGTCTGCTCCTTCAGCTGCTCTAGTTCCACCTGAGTTGCTTGGTTCTGACGAATCAACTCCTTGGTTTTCAAAGTGATCTCCAGCAAGCCAGACTTGTGCAGGACCACCAGGGTATTCTGAAAGCGCCTGTGTTTACTCTGCCGCTGCTCCGCAAAGCCATCCGGGCTGCGGCAGAGGTGCTCTGCGGCCCACAGAGGTGAGCTGTAACTGGCCGACAGTGGGGACAGCGGGGAGCTGCTCTCTACCCCATGCAGCGTGCTGTCTGACGCGCAGACGGGGCTGGCGGGGGAAGCAAAGGTCAGGCTGGGAGCTTTAGCCACGTGGCTGCTGGACACGGGCTGAAGAGTCTGTGGACTTCCACCTGCCACCAGGGATGGCACACCCCGGAGAGCTGAGTCCTCGGCAAGCCTGGCACTGGGGGGCGCTGGCGTCGGGGGCCTGGATGGCACAGCGCCAGTCTTGGTCGGCTCGCGAGAAGACAAGCTTGGCCCCAGTCTCTCAGTACAGACCTTCTTCTGCGTTCCACCTTCTCTTTCTTCCGTGCTGAGGGAAAGGCCCCTTTTGCCTGGGTGTGGGGCTATTTTGGTGTAAGAATTTAGAATGGGCAAGTAGTTCCTGGAGTCCAACTTTTTCTCACCAGCGTGACAGGGGCTGACGGGAGACGGCACAGGTGGATGAAGGAATAAGAGCTGCGGCTGTGCCGAGATCACCTCAAAGGAGGGCTGGACGGTCCACGACTGGAGCTGGGATGAGCTGCCGCCCTGAAAACCAAGGAAAAGGGCAGCAAACTACTTGTTACCTGCTGCTGTCGAAGGGGCAAAGCACATACTCAGATATGGATAACAAGTTCAAGTACAGAGCTTCCCTCACATATGGGGCAGCCCTCCGTGACATGACTTTGAACCTCATGAAATGTGGCTCAAAAATCCATTTGGGTCTGAGATCATGTCTTGTTTTCTTAAGGGAAAACTGGAAGAAACAGCCATTTGTATTCAAGTGCTATCACTCAAGAAAAAGACACTATTATAGGTTGGTGAAGTAATGACACAGTCAAAGTCACAAGCGAGGCAATAAAAGTATAGATAACACAACTTCTCGGCATAAGTTAAAACGTGCTAATCTCGAGACTATAAATGTGACTTTACCCCAAATTCTATCTTCATTCGGTTACATCTCGAAACTCTTTTACCTGAAAACAACTTTTGATTAAAAAGTTACACATTGTTGGGAGTCCATGGGCCCCTGTTTTTAAGGCAATGACACCCAACAACCAACAAGCTCTTCAAGGTGAAAACAGCCACCATGTATGAGAGTTCTACAGGCTGGCACTGTGTGTGCTGCTTCACATGCACTGTCTTATTTAATCTCCACAGCAACCCTATGAGGCAGTTATTAGTTATCACCTCCCTTCACAAACAGAAAACTAAAGCTCAGAAGTTGCAATAACTTGCCTTCAGTCACCAAACTACCAAGTGATGATGCTAAGATTTCACTGTCTGACTCTAAAACCAATCCTAACCATCCTGCTAGATCGCTTTTGTTACACTACTCCCCAATCACACATTTTTATTTTTAATAAAAGTACGGATTCAGACAGAAATCTAACAAAGAAGGGCGTGGCTACTCATCTCTAGTATTTAAACGCCAGTGCAATTCCAACCTGGGCCCAAGATAGGAGCGTACATGCGGCCAGGCAGACGGACAGCCTGACAGAGGCTCTCAGCCTTGGCAGAGTCATCTGATTTAGCTGAGGAAAGCAGCGGACTGCGCTGCCATGTGGCCACACCGACGTGCATACACTTCAGCTTCCTGGATGCCTGGCTAGGAACGTAAGGCCAAGTTCAACTATAGTTCATGTACTGCACAAAAGCTAGAATGACCTGGAGAGTCCACTCTGGAGCCCTCCTGGTGCTCAGATACCCTGGGATGTACAAAAGCAGGCAATGGTGGACTTAGCAATCACACTCCCCTGCCAGAGGAGATACAAAATCAGGGGTCTTTCAAAGAAGAGATCAGCCTCATCCTGCTCAGTCAGAAGCAAAACTTCAGGCTGTCCCCCTGGTCACTCATGCTGGGCAAAACAATCTGGAAAATACCTAACTCATTGCTTCCGCAAGATGATTGCACTGGACTATTCTTCCTAACGCTGCTGTTATGCCCACTGAGATACTTAGCTTATTTGTTCTAATTATTAGATTTTACAGCGTATCATTCCTGTTGAAATCAACTGAGGGAATACCCGGTAAGATTTTAGACTTGGATAGAGTCTCAGGATCATTTCAAATAAAGCCTTCATGTTAAAGATGAGAAAACTGAAGTCCATAGTGATTACGTGCTTGTGTGCAAGATCACAGTCTGGTGGACGAACTGGAAATCAGACCCTCACAAGAAAATTGCCTAAAACCAAGCAGCATTAACTAAGATGTCATATAATATACAGAGATTTTTTAAACGTATATAATTTTTTTAAATTTGGAATGTGCTGGATTCTAGCATATGTGAAAAAACAAAACAAAACTGCTAGATTGCTCCACTAGGTCAGCCTGCCCCCAAGCCTGCTGTCTCCCGAGCAAGCCCAGCAGCCTTCCCGGTGGGTCTCTGTCCTGAAGAAGCCGGCTCTACTGGAACAGCCCACTCACCCCTCAACTGTGGGTGTTCTCAGCCCTCCGGAGCTGCCAGCGTCGCCTACAACAATAAACACAGACGCATAAGAAAAAGTGATCGGGGGCCAGAGAGGGAGGCAGGAGAAAAAGAGCAGGAGACAGGGCGTCTGGAGAGGCAGCTGCTCCAGTGGGGCCTGGACAATCTCATCTGGGCTCCATTTCATGTCTTTATTCTCTCAATGTTTCAACAAGGAAAGCTATGCTTCCAGCTGAGAGGTGATTTGCCAAGTAAGTATCTTCAATTTCTTTTTTCAAACTCACCAGGTTGCCTTGTTGAAAGGCAGTCTGAGTTCCTCAGCAATAACTAGGTAACGGTTAAGATGCTAACTGTTCAGCCTACAGCCATGTTCATCCACCTGAGGTAGGAAGGCTGACAACAGGAAGCCAGATTTCAAACTTCACCAGCTTCAAGCAGCCTCACAATGGACCCACGCGAGAACTCATCTACTTCAGAGCAAAGTAGGGTAAGGTTTAATGTTCTCTTTTTTGGGGGTGGGTGGTAATTAGGTTTATTTCTTTCTTTTGCATGCCAAGAATGCACTCTACCACTGAGCTATACCGCGCCCCCTGCCCCAGGTTAAATGTTCTTTAACCAAATTCATATGATTGAATTTTCTGTTTCAAACACTGGGCTTCACTTAGATTTTCATCTAAATTTTCTTTTCTTTCATATCTAGACAATAATCACATAATTTGCATAGTTATGTAATAAGCTTGAAACAAGGTATTTTTCAATTTCACAACAGTGATGCTGTGTGGACTCTGAGGGTATAGCCATACCTAAATCAAATCTATGTCACTAATGACATAGCTCTGGCCGATTCCTAAGGAAATGCTCAGAATGTAACAGGAGAAACATAAAATTGTTCCTACTTCTTAAATAGTTCTAAATTCCCAGGGCAATTCAAATTAAAAAGAGATTTTCTTGTTTCTACCCTAAATTCTGCCACATATTAGAATGCACTACGGAAGCTGGGACACTTCTGCTTGGTTCCTTTAAACACGACTACAGTATTCCAGATCCCTTTGGACAAACTAGTGATATGGAAATAAAACAGTCTTACTGTCTGGAAAATGAGAACATGTGTCATGACTCTTGTATTCCTTTTTAAAACACTGTCAGGAGTTGACAGGAAACATCCTCTTCCCAGGACAGAAGTAAGCACTGGGGTGGTTCTGGTGGCCCGCTTCTCACATCTCTCCTTGGCAGAGATGGAGAGGCTCTGTGCACAAGAAGCTCAGAAACTCTAATCTGCAAAGAAATTACAAGAGAGAGCAGTCCCCCTCACCTGTTTGACCAGCACGTTCTTCATGACAACCATGGGGGACAGTGTCGGGAAGGCACTGCTCGCAGGCTTGGAGCCCGGCCTTGGCCTGTCTTCTCGGCTCCAGCCTAAGGCGCTCAGCATGTCCTCGGACTCCATCTGCTCCGCCGAGCTCAGGCATTCTGAGCTCCCATCTGCCGGGCAGAAGAATGGTCAGTTCACTCAGGCCCTAGGGGAGGGGCTCTTAACCAGTCCTTCTGGGGAGCAATGGACTCCTTCCAATTGAATGGAACATTTGTGATATATATTTTTGTGAATTTTTCTGAGGAGGCATTCAGCTTTCATTGGATTCTCAATGGGATGTGTAATTATCCCTCCCACCCCAAAAGACTCACTGCCCTAAGACAGCAGACCTCCTTTCCAACCCTCTTAGAGACAAAAGCCTGCAACAATTAGGGTTCGTGTGAAAGTAATCATCACCAGTCTACAGAAGAAATGGGTGAAGGCTTCACAATTAGCTTATTACTTTTAAGAATCTGTTGTTGAAAGGGGAGAAGAGCGTGTGTGACCTGGAGCAGGATTAAGCCCTTCAGAGGCGCTGGGTACCTCAAGATGTAACAATAGTGACAACAATAAAAACAAAACCAATCTATAAAACCTCAAACTACCTCCCTGCTGTAATTAAAATAGCTTCCTCCTAAGTTTTCTAATTGTAAAATTCTGGATAAGTTCAGCAAGAGGAGGTTTATAGTGTCTGTCTTTGTCACCCTCCTCCACCCAGTGAAACTAACCTCCTTTGGTAGTATCCTAAATGCAAGCTGAGTGTGCCTACTGGGGAGCCTGCACAATAGGTGATGGAAAGATACTCTCTAAGGCAAAGAAAAGGAGGTTGCCCTACGTGAAATTCATACAGAAAGGACTTAATTAGCATCCTGCTGGAGTGAAACAAGAGATGGCTCTAACCCTGCTAGTAAGGAGGCTGGGAACACCCTAAATGCTCATCAGGACTCTCAGAGTAATCTGGATGAGGCAGGACTGGAATGTGACTGTAATTTAAGAGTGCAACTCTCAACACCTGCATTTAATCAGAATCTCCAGAGACACGTTTTAGAAATTATGGGTGTTGAGGTCTTCCCCTCAATCTACCAAATTGATTTATCTGGTGTCCAGGCATGTGTATTTTCACAAAGCACCACAAGTAATTCAAATGTGTACCTCTAGTTAAAAACCATTAGGACAGAAACAAAGGGCTTCAGAAGCAAAGTGCATATCTAGCATACAAATCTTGGTTTCTAAATGTCATTCTGCACAAAAAGGAAACCAGGGCTCCTTGGAGAATGGCTGATGCAAGTTTTTGGCAGGGAAGATACAAGATGAGCCTGAACATCCTATTGTCCCAGAAAGCAAGGCAGTGCTCACATACAAATGGGGACATGTCAAAAAGACAGGTGCTATCTAGAATGGACTCCGACTGGCCAAATGTGGTCCAATTTGAGTATCAAAAAGAGTAATGATAATGGACTGACAAACCAACTTACAAAAGAATTCCATGAATCCACAGTGATGCTCAAAAAAGAGGGTGGAGGGGGAATGTCAACTAATACAAGAACTGATAGAATTAGATGACCATTTTCAAACCACAAATGCAATAACTGATTCAGGCAAGGATCATCACTGGATGCTAAAACTACTGTTCAAGAGTTTGTTGGAGAAAACAGGATAGTCACACAGCCTCAAAGTAGCATACCATGAATTGCTTATTAATTACAAAGACAAAAGTGTACTTTTAACAATAAAGGAATCTGGTATATACTTACATGCTCCCTTAACCAAGTGACCAACCACAACATCACCAAAAATAAGACAGACTTAGGAGTCTCCTTATGTTGTGATGAGGATATAACATTAAAAATGCAGCCTTCTGATTTTAAAAAGTGTTTATCTTGATTCGAATGATGGGGAAGCTACCAGAAAAATCCAGTGTGAAACATTTTCTAAAACAAGTGACCTAACTCATTCAAAGAATGTCACTGAAAAGAAAGAAAAAAAAGCAAGCAAAGAAAAGGGAAGAAAAGGAAGCTGTTCTAGACTAAATAAGACTAAAAAGACATGACCACTGAGTGAAATGCACAACCCTTAACTGGATCCTGGACACAAAGCAAACAAACAGACAAAAAGACCAATGGCTATAAAGGACACAGGGACAATGGGGAAAATCTGAATCTGGACTGTAGCTAATTAATAACTGCAAATTACATCATATCCCAAGCAACTGGAATGATAACTCAGGCAGTGACAAAATCTCTGGCACCTGGCCCAGATGTGACTAGGGGCATTCACTGGGGCCACTTTCTGGGGCATAATGAGATTGATTATTTTTAATACCACCTTATGTCTGAATTACACAATACTTCTTAAAGCATGTCTACATACAGAATAGGAAACTTTCAAAAAACTATCCAGACATTGGGACATACTGAAAAACAGCTGGCCTGACAAAGCTGAAGTTGTTGCACCAAAATGTCAACACACTGGGAATAAGAGGGGGTAGGATTATAGACATTTATTTTCTTCTTTGCATTTTCCTAAATTTCTAAGCTTCTATAATGAGCACATATTACCTTCACAACATGAACAGCCCAAAAAACAAACATACTAAAAGAGAAAAAAAAGAGAGAGACACACTAGGCCTACAGTATTTCCCAAAACTCTCTGATCACATGAATCACCAGAGACACTTCTTAAAATATAAAACCCACATTCCAGGCCCTCCCCTAGACCCTTGATATCACAGTCTCCAGGAGAGGAGTCTGGTGATCAGTGCATTTTTACCAAATGCCTCAGATGAGCCTTATGATGAGCCAAGCTTGGGAAACAATGCTAAACAATAACCCAAAGGGCTATAAGCTGGCCCCCCCTTCCCTAAACTGTCCTTATTCTAATCCCTCGGACAGTGCTCTGTTCCTCTCTGAGCAACAGTCTATTTATAATTTGGCTTCTCGTGCAGCATACCTACAGGGAGAAAACACACTAATTTAAGGACGAGAGAGTTCTAGTTTTCCTAACAGCTGCATTTCTCACTATGAATTAATAAATCAACATGATGGATTGATTAGTCTCTGTGGGGCTGGATAATACAAATCTTCCTCTGGGAGAGGGCTCCATTCTCAGGATGCTGACCCAGCCAGAACCCCCTGGAATCACCCCTCTGCATCCCCTGCGCCAAAAGTGTTGCCACTAGAGCCACATTCAAGCCATTACTCTGGGGAAAAAAAAGCCTCAGCACAAAATTAAAAGATTTACTGGGTATGCAGCTAGTCCTTTTGGGCAAGGTTTTAAAGACAAACTAGTAAGGAAAACTGTTCTGCTTTCTTGTCTCTAACAGATACTCAGTTTGGAATTGGGCCAGGGAGTCTCATAGTCCAAATACAAAATGCAAAAATACTGGCAGGGACTGTGGGGGGGGTATTTTTAAACACAGCAAATTACCTTCTTAGCAAAAAAGTTATCTTAACAAATTATACATTACTTTTGTTTAACCGGTTACACGTGGTGATAATATGCTTTTTTTCCTGCAATGTAACTATTACTACAAAAAAGGAGGTAAGACAACAGAATTATGAGTATTTAACTTTTTTTTTCCAATGACCACTTGCCAAAGTTGGAAATGTAAGATTTAAAGCTGAGAGTCTGAGTTGAAAAAAGATGTTAAATCATTCCTTTAACTAACCCCACTGTGACTCTGACAGGTGCCCCACCATAATGTAACAGAACTACATTTTAAGGGATCAGATAGCTAATTCTCCTGTGGGCGAAATCTTCTCATCCTTCTCATACAAAAGGAAGGACATTTTCCAGGCAAATTATTCACTACAGTGCAGAAAGGATAAGGTATTTTTAACCTGAAAATCCAGAGTCCTTATCTGACTCAGCTGCTGCCATGCCAAGGTGACGAGCCACCTTTTTCATCTCTGTGCCTTTGCTGAGTTTGGCCGAGAGCCTCCTAGGGCCCTCTCTGGATGGGTTCTTCCTCTCCATGTTTTACTGGGCTGGAAGTGAACGCTTCGGTACTCTTTTCATCTGGAGTGCCCTGTGAAAAACAACAATTACATAAGAAGCCAAGGCCCGGAGCGCTGAGACAGGTGATCCAAGTGGTGAGTAAAGTAAGGGCAAAGAACACCGGCCTCACCCACTTCCTCTGTGTGCATTTTCTCAGAGGTCTCAGCTGACAAAGGCGACAAGTTCACTCAATGGTAGAATGGTTTCCACCCAAAACGAGGTTCACCGTCTGTCCTCTCACTGCCCTCTAATTCCATTACAAATGCAAAGCACACAAACCACATTCAGTGGAAGCTTTGTAAACTGCGCACAAAGGCACATTTGATTAGGCTTTCTGAATGCTCCCCGAGGGAGGACAGGAGAGGTGATGCCCACCTTGGACCAGGCTTGCTTCCCAGGACACATCTGTAGGCCCCCAATGTTCTGCACCTCCCAGAGTGTAGTTTCTCAAGTTAACCTTTCACTGCTTTGGACAAGGTACTGAACAGAGTGAAAACAACCCCTTATACATGCATGTTACATTTTGGCTTAAAAAGCAGTTTTATGCACAAATGAGATCATATATAATAGTGCTCTGATTCCATAAATGCCCGTAACATTACTGCTGTTAAGGGTCTCTCACTTGAGCCTCACAACATCCTCCTCAGTTGCTATCCCATTTTACAGAGGAGGAAGTTGAGGCTCAGATAAGTTACATTCAGTCACGTAAAAATATTTATCACGCGCCTGCTATAAACCACGTATTGTGCTAGGAATGGGAGTACAGAGTGACTCAAATAGACCTGGTTGCCCTCTTCCTGGAAAGAAGCCTAGCTTCGATCCAGTGACACATAGCTAGTCCACAGCAAATCCAGAACTAGGCTAACAGTGCAAAGCATGAGACCAATGAGCCCTTCAATGAGCCAGCAGAGGCTGAGAACATTCCAGGTATTTTAACAAGGCCCTTTGAATCGCCAAGGAACGGCAGCTGTAAGGGCCACATGGTAAGAACACAAGGATGCTGAAGGGATAAAGGGATCAGGTGGCCAAAAGGGAAAACAACAATGATAATGGAATTGGGTAAGTGCTATATCTGAATGTCTGTGTCCTCCCACCCCACAAATTCATACATTGAAATCCTAACCCCCAAAGATGATGGTGCTAGGAGATGGGGCCTTTGGGAGATGGCTTAAGTCATGAGGATTTCATCTCACAGGATGAGTGCCTGACAAGCGGTTCCAGAGAGGTCCCTAGCCCCTTCCACCACATGAGGACAGCAAGAAGCTTGTGACTGGAAGAAGGTCTTCACTGGATCATGTCGGCACCTTGATCTTGGACTTCTAGCATCTAGAATTGTGAGAAATAAATTTCTGTTGTTTATAAGCTACCTGTCTGTGGTATTTTGTTATGGCAGCCTGAATGGACAAAGGCAGTATGTTTAAGCAAAGCCTGGTGGCGTTTTTATTCACAATCCACTTTCAACTCCATCCATTTGTCTTTCTGAGTAGAGGGAACATGGGCCCCCTGCCAAACACTGTATGTGAAAAACCCTGGATATGCCAAGTGTGAACATTTCTGCTAATACAGGATCTAGTGAAGAATATCAACTACTCCAGAAGCAGAGGAGGGATTCAAAATAAAACTAAACAGAAGATAAGAATGCTTATAGGCATCCCTGAGCAACCCTCTTACTTGCACTTTTGCATCAGTAGAAGTGGACTAGAGGGAACTCACGTTGAACAGAATGAGACTGAATTTTAAACATGGTTCCAAGTAAAAATTATTTTGTACCACATCTAACTCATTTAAGGGTAAGCTTCCTTATTCAATCCATGTCAAACCGAGCACTCTTTGACAGGTCACATTCAGTACAGTGCACATGAGAGAATCAATGGCACCGTCACATCTTGCATGGCACTATGCAAAAGCAACATCTCTCTGCTGGATGGCTATGAAATTTGACAGCGTGGACAATCCAGTTTAAAAAGCAGGATAAAATGTAAAACTATCTCTAATTAAATCTGGATCCTTTTGTAGGAAACCCACAAATGTATGCAGTTTCATTTTCCTGAAATAATACTGTCTGAAAGTGAATAGAGGGCTTTCTCAAAATGGAAGCAGATGTCACTGGTGGATGGGCAATTAGACTTCAGTCTGACCCTGCTGTTGACTTAGATTAGGAAGGTAGCTCATGTCAGTTGCAACTAATTAAAAACCTGACGAAGTTTCACTTTAGCTTATGAAACATGGATTATTTTACAGGCATTTTAGACAAAGCATCCCAATTTCATCAACAATCCTTGTGACAAGACAATGAAATAGGTCTTGCTACTGTTATTAAAGTACAGTCAACAGAGTTATAGAAAACACATAGGAATTTATCTGGCTCATCTTGACATATGGGTTAAAAGGAGAACAGATGTTAAAATTTGAGATGCTGGGGAATCTGTGGCAGTTGGAAAAAAAAGAATACATAATCTACTTTAGAATAGTAAACTGACTACTTTGGATGTGAAAAATGCTAAAAATACGAAAGCCTCTGTCCTAAGTAAAGTTCTCTTTGAGCAGCAGAAAGCCTTAGTGTCCTAGGGAAATTTCAGTGGGAAAGAGAATGAAGGGCTACTCGCCATCTTGACCCGTTCTCGCTGAGAAAGGCACTTTCCTCGCTGGAGTGGCGCTGAGGGCGTCAAGTAGCCTGTGAACAACAGATCATTCACATACAGACCAGACGAGGCCTCAACCAGAGAGCAGCAGAGTGATGGCATTTATTACCGGTGCTCACAAACCAAGGGCCACACCAGGGGTGAAGTCTGAAAACCTCAAGGTTTTTTTCCTCCTTGATATTATTTTACCGTAAAGTTAGACGCTCATAAGCTGACCGGGGGTTGAAAACCAGTTACCAAACTCATATCCACTGTGCCATCTCTGCTTCCTGGCACAGACTGGAAACCACCACCACTGCCTCACAAACACCTCAGACCTCACATGCCTAACTCTACATTAGAAGGACTCCAAGTTAAGCATCCCAAACTCTCAGAATCAACCCTAACTGGGCCTCTTATAAGTGCATATATAATACAGAGTCCAAAAGGTTCTCAGAGAGAACAATACACACTGAAACTCAGAATGTAAAGTAAATTAATAAATATAGAGGTTTATACAAATAAGTATAAGATAAAATTCTAACAAGTGCTCCACAGTACTTGTCTCTTCCTCTATTTACAAACTTCTTACATTATAGAGTCCAATTATTTGTTTCTTCAACATCAGCGGTTGTCATCTTTGCAACCTCAGCCCCCAACAATTAATGCGTGAGGTATTAGACAGAATAATAAATTCCAACAAATCTTCTGTCCTGCTGAGTCTTGCTGACAGCTCCAGCAGCTTAGCTGTCACCAAAATACCTGAACAGCTTGAAGGTCAAGAATTTCCAAACACCATGGTCACCTCAAGATCTAATGTCCAGGTCTGGTCTCCTGCAGGAAAGAAATATCTCATCTACCCCTTATTCTAAGTTGAAACCTCAGGGGTAAATCCAACAACCAAATTAAAGGCTGGTCTCATCTGCACACAACCTCTACAGAGACTCAGGCCTGTGATAAAAAAGAGATCCAAGGTTTACAAGGAAATGCTGCTCTTGGATCTCTCCTTTTATAGATACTTGGCAACTTACCTGAGACCTCAAGTTCCCTTTAAAACATGTCACATGTATAACAGGCGTGCATGGATAGAGGTGTGAGGTGAAAGCCCCAGCAGAGGCTTAAATACAATAAAGAGACAAGGCCATAGAAAATTAAGGCCTTACCACCCAGAAAGCCATGAGTAACCCCAGCTGGAATTATAAATACATTACTAGATTTTCTCTGAAGTCATTTTCTCTTGGTCTTTTCAGAGTATTTCTTGATATTTTCAGAGATACCATTCTGGGGGAATTTCTGTGTATTTAAAAAAAATAGGAAAAAAAGAAATCCTACCTAAATCTCTAATATACATCTTCCCCTTCACATCCATTTCCATACTCCAACTTGGCTGCAAATTCACGTCAAAGATCCTGAACTCCGACTCCACACAACATCCTCTGTTTGGAACCAGGTATGGCTCACTCCATTCTCCTCTTTCAAAAAGGAGGTAAGATTAGAGAACTTCCTCAAATCCCCTGTTTCAAGAAGGGCTCACAGTAACAGTGCCCACCCCCCACCCCCATTCGCACCAGCCCACGATGCATCTGTGCCAGACAGCAGGAGCGCCCTCCAGGCATCCACCAGCCTGCCAGCTCAGCAGGGCAGAACTGGGCAGACCCTAGGACTGTGCTGTGACTGGCATACCACTAGCCTCCCAGGGCAAACGCCCAGGCAATGCGTACTGCCAGAACTTGGGCAATAACAGAGAGCCTGGATGCAGCCTGTGCCCTGGCCTGAATCAGAGCTTCCCCCAACCTACCTACTAACCACTAATTCCTTACTTGTCACTGTCCACCTTCTCTCCCACCTCTCCACCCTGGCAGCACTCCTGGCAAGCTGGTCACCCAGGGGAAATAACCATCAAAGTGGGTGACAGCAGGTCTCTGAAATAGCACACCTGTGCCCCGGGCCCAGAACAGGGCACTGCTCTCATCCCCAAACGGGAGGCCCAGGACTCTCACAGGGTTACCAGCTCCTGCGCCCACTCACCTGCCTTTTCCTTGCCCCTCTGCTTACAGCCCAGCCTCCAGGCTCTCCCCCGTACCAGGATGCCCTGCAGGCTGTTGCCCCCAGGACGAGACTAGGGCCCACTTGCCCTAACCGTCTTACACCACCTGTTCCCCACAAACAGCCCCCTCCTCACCAGAGATTCCCTCTCCCACGCAGTCTCGACCCTCGCAGCAAAACCGACCAACTAAATGGGGGTGGAACATACCACCCCCTGCTCCCAGCATTTGGCCCTCTGTCCCCCGAAAGTCCCGGCTCTCCCTCTTGCCTACCTCGCTTCCCTCCTTCTCTCCCCTACTCCCACCTCTTTTCCACACGCTGCCCGCGAAAACCCTTTCCCTCAACCCGTAGCCCTCCCTCTCTCACCTAGGACCCGGGTCGTCGCTCCGCGACCGGACGACCCGCGGGTACGGTGGCGCATGCGCGAGTCCAGCCCCGCGGCTCCATGACAACCTCGCCGTCGTCGGGTCTCAAGCTACCCTCCCGCCACCAGCCTCCCGCCCATTTCTCCTCCCTCCGACTCCGTGTCGGCTTTCGCCAGGCACGTGACCCGGCTCGGAGGACCCGGCACCACCGAGACTGCTAGCTGTTCTCCTAGAAGAGCCGTTGGAGGCGCACGCTGTTCCCGCCTCCGCCGGAAGAGACGTCGGCACGGACGTCCCCAAGAGGCTGGCGCTCTGTCCGCGGAAGGCGGACGTCTCTATGGTCGGAGTCTCAGGCCCCGCCGCCATTTTGTACGGGGATCTTGAGCAACGAACAACGTGGGGGCGCCGCTCCGAGGCGGGGTTTGGAGACACCGGGGTGGGCCGGCTTCTAGCCTACGGGGCAGGAGGCGTGATTCTCCTGCGGGCGCGGATGGGTTAGGGTTAGGGTTGGCCGGGGGGGACGGCTCTCTCGGTTTGTACGCTAGGACGCCGTTAGGGTTGAGGACCGGGACAGGCCATGCTGACTTGCACGCGAGCCCGTGCGGAGGCGTCCGGCGTGGGCGGGCAGGCGGCTTCGCCGTCCCCTAGGCCGGACGGAGGCGGGCTTGGACCTCCCCGCGCGCTACTCACGTTGTTGCCTCGCCTGTCGCGGCGGTTGGTTTGCGTTCACTTTCACCCCTTTGAACAGTGCTTCACGAGGCAGGGACGCAATCTGTATTTTTGTTGGATGACTTCATGTCATTTGATGAGTGACTCGCTTTGTTCTGTGAGACTGACCGAGGTGTTGGGTTTTGCAGGGATCCTGTTTCTCACGCCAGTTCTTGAAATGTCACAACGAATACACGTGCATCAGTTTAAAAAGGGATTGAGATTAGTTGACGTTCTGATGCGTTGACTCAGGGTGAATTTAAAGTTTGTTGGCTAGTCGAGGCAAGTTCTAGAGCTACCTTGTCCAGTAGTGTAGCCACAAATCACGGCGGGGGATTGAAACTAATTATAATTTAATAAAAGGAAAAATTTGTGTTTCTCGTTCACACCGTCCACATTTCAAGTACTCAGTAACCACGTGTAGATAATGGCTATTTTATTGGCCAGCACAGATTATAAAGCACTTTGCTAGCATCACAGTAATTTTGGAGGGCGCTGATCTAGATGATGGACAGGGGAAAATCGCCCTATGTGGGTAGTCCAAGCCTTGCTAAACGCTTCTAGGTCATGGGTAATCACATTAGTCCTCCAGACACAGATAATGCTAATGCATTACTAGGCATGAATATTAGCATAAGCTCTACCAGCAAATAATAATTGAATGCCTACAGCATGTTAAATCTTTTCCTTAGGGGATGGAGGGAGTGAAAACTGTGGTTAACAATTATCAAGTAACTAAGAGCCAGAGAGCTTTACGTGCATTCCTCTACAAATTAATGAGGTCGGTGTTACTAACGTTTCCATTTTATGGACCATTTTATTGAAATTTATGCCCATAATGACAAAACTGCTAGGTCCTGGATCTAAACCACTAAGCCATATTGCCTCTTTTTGAGGCAAAACAGATCAATTTTTGCCTTCAAATACCTTAGAATCTGATATGGAAAATAAAGAAATGTTCTAATAAACAGTATGAGAGAGAATGTGATAAATGCCAAAGGATTCTGGACAAAATCTATATAAAATCAAAGGAGTGAAAAATAACCTTGCTGTTGAAAGAGGAAGAGACTAGTAGGTAAAGCTTTAAAGAGGGCAGGTTGAAAACAAGATATACAGTAATGGAAGTGAGTGAGAGAAGAATGCATACCAACCAAAAGAAAATAAATGAAATAAGCAAAAGCATGAGGATTATTTTAGTCCTCCGAAAGTGCAAATAAGTCAAACTTCCCTGATTTTATGTATCTTATGAGCAGATAGCCATGCTGTATCAATAATTTGAACGTCAAAGACAAGTTTGGTAATGGAACCCAATGAATCAGACTAATTTAGGCATAATTTTTGTTCACCTACTGTATGGTTCTGTCTAATTAAAGACAGAATAAGCAATTCATGAAAATGGATAATGAATATTTTTATATAGCGAAAGCAATGTGTTTTGTTTTTTTGCTAATTCACCAGGGTTTATAAATCAGCATCTGTTTTTTTTTAAACTTTTTTTTATTGAGTTATAGTCATTTTACAATGTTGTGAAGCATCTCTGTTGATAGTTTCCTATCAAAGTGTTGTGAGTTCTCTTCATCTTTCCTGTCACACTCTTGTCTAGGCTAAGGTTTCTGTAATGGAGAGTGGTTTTCCAAGCCCCCTTTCTTTTTTTTTTCTTTTTCTGGCGACCAGCCCCCTTTCTTCTTGCTGTAGAGTCCTTTCCAGTTGAGTCCTCAGCACCAGTTGTGGTTTGACTCATTTTGCTGCCACCACTGCCAGCAGGGGGAGACCTGCTCCCTTAAATACTGCACTTAGGGATTTGCAAATAGGCTTCTTTTCCTTTCTGCTGTCATGGAGTGCCACGGACTGGAGGTCAGAAGCTACATCTCTGCCCAGCCTACTACTTTAAGTTGTTAACCTGCGCTGTCCACGTGAGAACTTGAGTTTTCTGTCCTGCGCAGGATGCCATAAAGAGCTAACCTTGTGCTGAGTTTTACTTGAAGATATTATAAAGTGTACATTTATAATTATATATAATTTACAGTATTTATAAATAATTCTTTAATACTTATTTTTATATTTAAAGTTGAGTATAAATTAAAGCTATTTTTAAATTATTTAAAAGTAATTATAATAGTATAATAGCAGTGAAAGTATGCAAAAAAAAATCTGGTTTCAAATACCAGCTCCTATCAAAATCATTGTATAAAAGATGGAGCATTTCAACATCTTCCCCCACTTATACCCAGGAGGGAAGATAGGCCATAATCTCACAATTCAAAAATTGAATAATTTCTGATTTATGAAAAATTCATTGCATTAGTCTTTTCCACTTTTGCCAAGGACCAGTGAAAACATCACTACAAGGACTGGCGTTAGTTCTTGGACCAACACTTGGGGATCATCTTTTTTTTTTTCTGAACCTTAGTTTCTGAACCATCTGTAACATAGTTATCTTCTTGTCTGAATCTGGCATCCGGCATTATTGCTGCTGACCCCTTCACAGTTTTTAAGGAGGATATGACGGAATGGTAGGTGTGTGTATGCCCGAAGGTCCTGGCGCCATGGGTCAGTGAGAGGAGGGGAGAGGGACCTACAGGTCCCAGGCTGGCAGAAGCAGAATTGTGTGATGACAGCATGCGTGTTCCTTTTCCCCTTAGCAGTCAGGTGACTAGGCCCCGCCAGCCAGATTAGTTCTTGGCTCATATTTTTAGGAATATCTGGAAGGGCAGA